AGCAGCAGTGAGATCTCAAAATGGAGATTTGGGTGGGGAGGGATTGGGAGAGAGGACTTATATGCAAGATCAGAGGGTTGGGGAGGGGGGAAAGAGGCAGAATTTAAGACCAGAGATGGAGTCTGAGAGAGGTTCTATGCACATAATTTAGAGAGAGTGTGGAAAAGGGATTGAGTCCACAAATGATAGGGTGCAAAGGGATATCGTGGATATTATTGTAATGAACACTGACAATTGGACATTTCATGAATAGTTTGATCTCACTAAGGTTTGAACCTTATGCAATCACATCTCAAAGTTTTGGACGTACTGTGAATTACTTGAGGTGTTGTGACTTTTTAAAATTAAATCATGGAACATGGACATTGCTGGCTGGCCTCCATTTATTACCCGTACCCTAGTTGCCCTTGAGAAGGTGGTCCTGAGCTGCCTTCTTGAACTGCTGTCATCCATTTGGCGTGGGTGCATCCACAATGCTATTAAGAAGGGATTTCCAGGATTTTAACATTGATCGAATATTGATATATTGCCAGGTCAGGATGGTGAATGGCTTGCAGGGGAAATTGCAGGTGGTAGTGTTCCCAGATACCTGCTGCCCTTGTCCTTCTAGATGGAAGTGATTGTGGGTTTGGAAGGTGCTGACTAAAGATCTTTGACTTTCTGTAGGGCATCTTATAGATAGTACACACTGCTGCTACTGAGTGTCAGTGGTAATGGGAATGAATGTTCGTGGATGTGGCACCAAACAAGTGGGCTGCTTTGTCTTGGATAGCGTCAAGCCTCGAGTGTTGTTGGAGCAGAACTCATCCAGGCAAGTGGGGAGTATTCCATCACACTCCTGATTTGTGCCTCATAGGTGTCCAATAAGCTTTTGGGAGTTAGGAACTGAGTTATGAACTGCAGGATTCCAAACTCTGACATGCTTTTGTAGCCGCAATATTTATATCGTTAGCTTAGCTCGGCTTCTAGTCAATAGTAAGCCCCAGGATGTTGCTTTGAGGGGGATTCAACAACGCTAATGTCATTGAATGTCAAGTGGCAATCAAGTTATATGGTCACTGTAAATGTGACAGGGACAAACTCGCAAACATTTAGCTGTGTCCACAACAGGCTACAGACAATATGCTTAGGGTGATGGCTTTTTAAGTATAGATGTGACATTTTTCAGACCATCCTAAAGAAGAAAACTCGGACCTTCACAGCTGAAAATTAAAATCCATTTTCCTCCACTTTGGAATTTAATTTCCCAAATAAAATAAATTACATCACAATTTTCTACATTTCTTCCTCGTAGTTTACAATGCTTCCACATTTTATATCATCTACAAAGTTTGAAATGTTCCCTTGAAAGATATAGATCATTTAAATGTATCACGAAAGGCAAGGGTTCCAGTACTGACCTCTGGGAAATCCATTACAAACTTTTTCTCAACCAAATATAAACTACTAATTACCACACCCTGTTTCTTGTCACTCGGACAATTTTTTATGCATGTAGATACTGTTGCTTTTATTCCATGAGTTACACTATTTTTTATTTTCAAGCTTTGATTCAAATGCCTTTTGGAAATCCATTTATGTGATATCAACAGCATTACTCTCATCCAACTCTCGAAAACTCCAAGAAAGTTAAAATGCTTTGTCTTCTTAGGAAATTCATATTGGCTTCTCCAATCAATCCACATGTGTCCTTGTGACCACTAATTTTAGCCAGAATGATTATTTCTAGAAGATTCCCCACCACTGAAATTGAGCTGTGCAATTACTCCGTGTATCCTTGCACACATTTTTGAATAAAGGCACTAACGTTTGCAATCCTTCTGTCCTCTGGTACCACCATAAGTCTAAGGAAGTCTGAAAAATTACAGCCAGTACCTCTGCACTTTCCATTCTCTTCTTTCAATTTCCTTAGATGAATGTCTATCAAATCCTGGTGCCTAGTCAACTTTGAGGATCTATTTGTAATTATTGATTTTTGAACCATTTATAGAGTCATAGAATCATAAGGCATAGAAACAGACCCTTTGATTCAACTCATCCACGCCGACCAGATATCCTAAATAAATCTAGTCTCATTTACCAGCATTTGGCCCAAATCCTCTAAACGCTTCCTATTCATATATGCATCTAGATGCCTTTTAAATGTTGTAATTGTACAAGCCTCCATCACTTCCTCTGGCAGCTCATTCCATACACGCATCACCCTCTGAGTGAAAAAGTTGCCCTTTAAGTCCCTTTTAAATCTTTCCCCTCTCACCTTAAAACTGTGCCCTCTAGTTTTGGATCCCCCTACCCCAGGGACAGGACCATGTCTATTCACCCTATACTTGCTCATCATGATTTCATAAACTTCTTTGAGGTCACCCCTCAGCCTCCGACGCTCCAGGGAAAATAGCCCCAGCCTGTTCAGAACTCCCTGTAGCTTAAACCCTCCAACCCTGGCAACATCCTTGTAAATCATTTATCAACCCTTTCAAGTTTCACAACATCCATCCTGTAGCAGGGAGACCAGAATTGCATGTAGTATTCCAAAAGTGGCCTAACCAATGTCCTTTACAGCTGTAACATGACCTCCCAACTCCTATACTCAATGCGCTGACCAATAAAGGCAAGCATACAAAACACCTTCATCACTGTCCTGTCTACCTGTGACTCCACTTTCAAGGAATGAATTTCCTTCTCTGTCAACATGGCCTGGGTAACATCTTCCTTGGTAAGGACTAATGCAAAATATTAATTGAATATCTCAGCCATGTCCATGCTTTCAATGTTCTTTCTGATCCCTAACTGGCCTAGTTCTATTTGCCACCCTTTCATTGTTGCTGTTGCTGTGGAAAATTTTGCTTCTCTGTTACATCACATTTTCTCGCAGCATCATCTCAGTATGCTATGCTCTGTGCAACTGGACCGGATGATGAAGCAATGTGCACTGTGCTGAGGAAGGGGAGCAATCATTTTCTGAGCAGGACAAGGACATTGAGGAGGAGGAAGTTCTCCTTTTACTTGACAGAGCTCAGCTGCATTGGGTGTGTCAAGCCAGACAGTATCAGTGGATGAGAACTGGATGCAACCGGCAAACATGGACTGTAGTCATTGGTTATCATGCAAGCATTTGGTTTGAATTGTGGGGGTGAACTGCAGCTTTCATCCATTTGTTGTCTGTAAATAAAAGCTGATGTTTAGAATTGTCTGAATGGATGCTTGGGTGTGATGCTCCTCTGCTGGACAATGTCAAGCTACAGAGTAGTGGTGATTTAGACAGGGTGTGTAGACAGGATGTAGCTAAAAACAGTACACAGCGTGACCTGGTGATTAAACAGTGTCTAGGGTGAGAGAATTGTACTGTGTGTGCAAGGGAGTACCAGCCACATGCCATGAGCACAGTGACTTTGTGGCTACTGTGCCATTACACTGGTGCAGGGCAACACCAACACGTCCAGATGCACAACAGCCTTGGTGTGGGTGCCAGGGATGTTGTCCTTTCAGCGGATATCCGCTGATTGGCAATTCTCCCAGGAATAGCAGGTGGTAAAATGGCACTAGAATCAGATGAAAAGAGTGTTGTAGGTAATTTAACGATTTTGGTAAGATGCAGACAGGACCCCTCAGTGAAACTCAATAAAATTGACAATTGGACAAAGAGTAATATTCAGCCCATGTATTATATTGGCAATGTGGAAAGCTTGTTCAACTGCGATTTGGACTTGTTCAACTCTGGGTCTTCGTGTATTAACTTGTATTTACGTAGGTTTCTGATGGGCTCCTTGCTGCTATTGGCATAGCGCTGTGCCTGTCTTATGCTTATTCGCTCTGTGTTGTAGCGTTTGGCTGCATCTTCATGTACAGGCAGGCCCAGTGCCTTTTTGTGCAGATCTTCGAATGCAGGACTGTTTCATTGTGGGTACAATAGGCCACATGGCTTATTTGCTTTATCAGGCCTGGCGACAATGTGAGTATTGTTTGCTGCACCTCATGCTTACAGTTGTTGCTATTCAGCCACAGTGTGCTGCCTATAGTAAAAACCCATCAGGTTCACTCATGTCTGTTTTAGGGAGGGAAACCTGCTGTTCTTGCCTGGTCTAGCCTACATGTGAATCCAGACCCACAGCAATATGAATGACTTTGAACTGTCCCCTGAGGTAGTATTATCCAGTGATGCCCATAACTCATCAAGGATCATAGATTATCAAATAAGCATTTTCTGGACTCCTCGTAATCACACCTGCTTAGAATAGCATATTAAAGCTACAGCCTGCAGCAACAGAATTGGACTTCAACCAGTGTCATGGGAGATTTGAGTTGGACACCTGTTGAATAGGACATGGTTAAAATTCAAGTCAATGACTGAATCATTAAAGGATCCACTTGGACAGAGTAAAGGAATTCGACCAGTCTTTATTCTGTCATGGGATGTGGACATCACCGGCAAGGTTGTCATTTGTTGCCCATTCCTCAGGCCCTTAAACCAAATGGCTCACTTGGCCATTACACAGGGCAATGAAGAGTCCATCACATTGCTGTAAGTCTGGATTTTAACTCTGACAGAATCAGTCTTCAAGGGGTCAGGATGTGGTGGGTGGTGTCTCCCACAGTGGCCTGTGCATTTCTGTAGACTGGGTACACATTCTGTATTGAGATGAATAGAACTTATATGTGGTGTTTGCTGTAACTTGTGTGGAAATTTTTCAGGTGTGGTGGTCACAGAAACCACAAACTGCCACACTAATACTGACAGCATGCTTCTGTGTTTTTTGTCTATGTTGGTCCACACACTGTGGCACCATGTATATTGTGCACATGTACAAATCAGTGGGGTACAACGGTAATAATGCTATGTAAACCTGCTGGGGATCTTTATTCAACTCATAAACAGGGATTATAGGGAGGGCTCCAGATTCTGGGAAGGTGTAGCTGCCATCACTATGGTTACTAGGAATTCATGCAAAGTGACATGGGAGAGGAGGAGCCTGATTACTGAACTGTACTTCCTTACTGATATAGTTTACACCACACATGATTAATCCTGGTTTCACAATCTCAGTTTGCTCTGTGACAGGGTTGATGTGATGAGCCTTGTTTAAAAAAGGCCAACTAAGACAACATACCAATACCAGGTAAGACAGACGCTTTCTTATAACAATGCTGCTGTACCAAAAATAATTCTGTAAACACTTTTTGAAAAGTAGTGACCTGAATTATTCTGAAAGGATTTGATCTCGTCAGGCTGTATTGGGGAAAGAGCCCCCGAGAAATCTAATATAGTTTCAGTTTAACACCTCTTTTGCTCTAATTCACACAGTTTGCCAATTGCTTAGATAGTCTGACCTTGGCAAGTATTTCAATGCTGCTGAATCAGCCCTCTTATTTTTTTTAAAAAAAGAATTCTGTTGTCTCCCTCTCACTTGTGCTGTGACGATTAAAACTTGTTGCATCGTAACTTTGTGCACAATGCTGAGATTTGCAAACCAGTTTTGCTGACTACAGTGGGAAGCAAACGTTTAGAGGGAAATTACTATCCATTTGGATTAGCTTCCTATCCCACACTTCCCTGATTCTATAACTCGGGTGCTTCATACAAGGAACTTTCACAGAAATAAGGGTGTGTGTTCAGTAATTATATATGACCTTTTTTGTATGAAACATGCAAAGCTGCATTGTGGACGTTATTCAGCTCTGCAGTGAGATGTTGGAATGTATCCAGCAGTAGCAAAAGAGCCTGGAACAATCCCAAGAAATGGTAAAAATGCACAGTGCACAGTTCTGGAAAATATGTGCACTCGTTATATTCAGCTTCCGTTATTAACTAGTTCAATCTGGCAGGGAAGAGTGTTTCCATTGAATAAAGGAACCAGTCCTACCCACTGTCCCAATCTGATTCATTGCAGATTAATGTTTCCAAAGCGTATATGGTCTTTTTTTTAAACAAAATGAATAAAAGTCACGCAGCACAAGCCACTGCAATAGCGAAAGTTCAGTAAAGCACTTCAGCCAGTAGAATATGGTTTAAGAATTTACAGGGTTGAGTGCAATATTTAGATTGTCATCTCAATTCTGAGGTAGTGCTGCAGTGTCGGTGGTGACATCTTTCTGATGAGACATTAATCAGAGGGCACTGTCTGTAGCATGGGTTGAGGCAAAAGATGCCATGAAAGTATTTTAAAAGGGAGCAAGGGATTTATCCCTGGTGTGCTGGCTACTACTTATCCTTCAATCAGTATCACTCAATATAACTTGGAAACTTATATTGCTGTTTTTGGGTCTTTTCAGCGCACAGTTTCACTGTTTGTTTTCTAAACCTCAGACTGCTACCTTTGGCACTTTCATGTTTCTTTCTTTCCAAAATTAACCACAGCACCTAAACTGCCAAATATTGTACATAGAATTGTTTCACAAATGCTTTTAAAATCTATTTCCACTTTAAAAGACATTTGGAATATGCAGGAAGATGGGAGCCAGGGATTATTAACAACATCTGAAATGATGCATGCAATTGTTTATGTATTTAGAGAATACAAAGGTGATGCTATTCCGCATATTCTGGGCTCTCAGATTACAAAGACTTCTATCAATTCTGTTTCCTTTTTAATGACACAAGACTGTAAATAGTAAAAAAATGTAGGCCTTAAAATCAAGAAGTGGGTATTGAAAGTTTGGATGCATTGACTTCATTATTAAGCACACCAGGAAATCTTTGCTCCCTGTGTTCTAGATGTTGACTCTTTTTTCTGTTCTGGTGTGAATCCACTTGCTAAGCATTTGCAACATTCTCCATTTGCATTTGGGATACCTCTGTAGATGAAAGATGTTTTTTGTTACAGTCAGTTGTAACCTTCTCCATCCCCACAACCCCTTTGGGGATTGTGCCTGTCCTTCAACTTTAGTCTCTGGAACAATTACCAGTCCTATTCCATGCTGACTGAGCCTTCAGCTGTCTGAACTGTATACTCTGAAACTCCCTCCCACACCTTAAATGTTGTTTGAGTGCAAGTTTCTCAATTTCTATTTAATAACCTTTTGACTTTGTAGGAGCAAATTACAGAATGAGTCAAATTGGATTGATTTACTGAGTAAACTGTGCAAGATGAATGCAAATCAGTTTCCTTGTGCAATATTTCGCCAGATTGCTGATGGTTTGGCTATGAGTACATCATTTTCCATTTTCTACTTCCTCTGCATTACATCAGTTAGGTGATTTTTTACAAAATTTTAACAGATTCTTCCTTTTCTCATAAACAGTCTGCAGACATTAAACCATTACCTTCCTTTTTTTGTTAGTTGCTTTATTTCCGCTGTTTGTTTTGATTTTCAAGGTATCACAATGATTGGAAAGAGGGTCATTAAGCTCTTGCATGTTTGTGGTCTCCATCTGCCACCTCTTTCTCCACAGCCCTGCACATATTTTCTTTTCAATTAACTGCAATTTCCTTTTTGGGAAGTATTTCTGCATTTTCACCATCTCTCTACAGGCAGTACAATCCAGGTCGCAACTCTCTGCACAATGAGGAGGGAAGAAAACATTCCATTTCCCCTTGGTTCTTTTGTCAACAATAATCTATTTCTGTCCTATGGTCACTGATCTTGCTGTCAATAGGAAATGTTTCTCCCTCTTTCCTCCATTATAATCACTCATAATTTTGACCTTTTTCAGCAATTTAACGAATGACATAAAGAAAATAGGATTGAACTGAATCTAAACGATTGTGATGCACTCCTGTCTCCTGAAGCAGAAAATTCTGATACATTTCCTAATGAAATAGGACCCTTCATTACAGAAATGCCAGAGCTAATAAATGGAATAGTGTCAATTTAACAATAGTGATTGCTGTTTGAAAAGTGCTTATTTAGTGAAATGTGGGGATGTGAATATGGCGATTTCCTTCTTGTCATGATATGAAAATGAAATACAAAAGCAGAAACATCAGCATCTTAAAGAGAAAATTTTTTTTCATTGATTGGTGTTTTTGGCGTGATTTCTCTCAAATGCTTCCTATTTCAGATCCTAGTGGGCACAGTGATGCTCTATTGTAAATGGTGCGTATAACATTTATAGCATTAAAAAGGCAAAGTAGTGTTAAAAACAATGAAGATCATGGCATTTATGAGTTTTGAGGAGGCAGAGGTATAATTTTAAAGTCCTGGTGAGAATTCCTGTTAAAGAATTTTCCATGTGAGAAATGTATTGTCAACAATAAGTACATGGCAAAGAACATTGAGAAGGAGAGTATTGTAAATCTCTCCCTAAATTGTGTTTTAACTTCAACTCTTCAAAAGCAATGTCTGATGTGTGGGACCCCTTTATATTTGGCTCCTTTGACTGACTTTGTCAATTTGGGGATGATTTATTGGGCTTACTGCACATGAATTTCATATTGAAATCCCGCAGACATCAGATAAAGCATCTTTTACTGACATCTTGAATTTGTTTTTACTATAATCAGATACCCAGTTTAACTTTGTTGATAAACTGAATTGGAAATCTTAAGTTGGAGTGCGATAAATGCTTTACAGATTGGTTCACTGATCTTACAGATCAGTCACCTGGCAAGGGCATCATTTTGAATAATGGTGAATGGTATAGAAACTACAACCTCATCTGATGTAATAGCAAAATATCATTGATGGTGGAAATTGAGAAGTTCTTGAAAGTATTCAGGAGCTCTTAGTGAATCTCTGGATTGTGAATTCAAGGTTCAACTGTGGCCTTTCCTGACAACTGGGACAAGTAAGAAATGTAATGTAGAATCACAATATTTTTCAGTACAGAAGAAGGCTATTTGACCCATCATGCCTGTACCAGCTCGCAAAAGAGCTACACAAGTCATCCCATTCTCCAGCCCTACCTCTGTAGTCCTTAAATTCATCACTTTCAAATATATATCAAGCTCTTTTTTTAAATCTCCCTACAGAATCCATCTCTACCACTCTCCGAGGCAATGCATTCCGAATCCTAACAACTGAGTAAAGAAGTTTCCCTTCATCTCACTCCTAGCTCTCTTGCTGACCATCTTGAAATTGTGACCCTTAATTACTGACATACCAACTAGTGGAAACAGAATATCCTTCCTTGACCTGTAAAATTGTTGACAATTTTGAATACTTCAATGAAGTCACCTCATAACCTTCTCTGCTCCAAGGAGAATAAGCCCAATTTCCCTAATCTTCCCTTGTATCTAAAATCCCTCATTCCTGGTATGTTTTGAGCAAGTGCAAGGTGGGGATGGGAAAGGGTGGGAAAAACACAAAAGGAAGGTCTGTGTTAGGTCGCAAGGCAGGAGAAATTAAATCGGGAGGAAATAATTATCCAAGGCTTATGATCTCTACTTCTTAAAAGGACAAGGACAGCAGAAATGTACTTCCATCACTGCTTGCAATTTCCCTCTAAACCACAGACAATCCTGACTTGAAATTACTGTATATCCTTTATATCAAAATGCTGGAACTTCCTCCCGTGCAACATTGCAAGTGTACTAAACGGAATGAGGTTAGTCAGGAAAGGACCTGACAACCAACTGCTCAATAGGCACCAAATGCAGGCTGAGCCAGCAATTTCTAAATTCCACAGAATGACTTTTAAAAAAAACTTATTCCAGGGGCCAGTGCTGCATCCAACTTTGTTTTCTTTGTACAAGTGATTATATTTCAAATCTTAAATTTTGTTGACAAATCCAAAGTGGCAGATTTGGAAGACATCCAGGAGTATTGTCATAGAATTTCGAATGAAATGTTCCATGGGAATTGGAAAAAGGTGCTTATAACTCAGTGGACAAATGCTGAAGGGTATCACTAGGAAGAAGAAAAAGGCACCCAACAACCAACTACAGAAAGAGCATTTGTTAAGATGATGCAAGGGATGGTCTATTGCAATTATGAGGAGATAATTGATAATCCAGAATCATAGACACCGGATTATTTGTGAGAAATTAGCTGAGAGTTGAGAAAGGTGTTTTAATATTGGTTGGGTTGTTAGTTTAGGATTGTCATGAAGAGGTTAGTTTCCCACAGGTTATAGGGTAAGGAATGCCTTGCTACAATCATTGAAGCGAAACAAATTCATTTATAAGGGGAATCTATAATGAATATTAAGTAAAAAAGTATAGGAATATGAAATGTGTTT